TTTAAACCCTGTGCAATGCAGGTACACTTCATGTACACCTGACATGCGTTGTGTTGCAAAAACAAATGCATGCCATGCATGGGTTTTAAACCTGTGGCATGCATTCGTTTTTACAACACAACGCATGTCAGGTGTACATGAAGTGTACCTGCATTGCACGGGGGTTAAACAACGCTGCATTTCCCCATGGTCAAAAGGAAACACCTTTTCAATTTGCCTTGACCGTTACTGAAAGAAAAGGGTTTAAAGGTCAGGAAATTTTACTCTCCAAAGAGGCCCAAAAGCTTGTTTAGACATGGCTAACATAATGGCCAAGCTAGCATATGCCAGTGACTTTAACTTTGCTCATCGGCCAACACGCGGATCTTCAGTCGAAGGGCCAGACTAAGCACTCAGTGGACATCTGCTTTCAGTGATGCCATCAAGCTGAAGAAGAGGTCTCATCAGGCCTTTTTGACTCTGCCCAGAGTTCCCAAAGGCTTTGGATATTGTGGACCTCAGAGTCGAGATGCTCCTCCGCATTGAAAGGAGCCAGATGAGGTGGTTGGGCATCTGGTTCGGAAACCTCCTGGAGGCCTCCCTAGTGAGGTGTTGTGGGTGTGCCTCATTGGGAGGAGACCCCGTGGATAACTCAGGACATGCTTGGAGACACTATGTCTCTTGGCTGGCACGGGAATGCCTCAAGATTCCCGCTGAAGAGCTGAATGAAGCGGCTGGGAAGAGGGAAGTCTGGGTCTCTGCTAAAGGTGCTGCCCTCGTGACCCGACCCCGGATAAGTGTAAGAAAATGGATGTATGGATGGCAAAACACAAGCAAAATTCTAGCCCTAACCCCTATTTTTTTTTCCATACATGTATTTTTACTTTAGTACATTTAAGAACAGAAAATTACTTTTGAACCCAAAATACAGTCAATGTCAGCTACTAGAACTTTTACATAAGTAATCTTCCTCAACCTGGCTTTAACTTCTACCAAATTTATTTCAGTTCAAGATACTTGTACTTTTACTCAAGTATTGCCTTCAGTTACTTAATACAAGGCTGATAGTCCAACCTACCGATGACGGTGGGCTCCAGGTCGACAAAGATGGCTCGGGGCACATACTTGCCCGTGCCGGTCTCACTAAAAAAAGTGGTGAAGGAGTCATCGGAGCCTCCTGCGGGCCTAGTGTTGGGCATGTGGCCGTCTGGCTGGATGCCGTGCTCCAAACAGTACAGCTCCCAGCAGGTGTTGCCCATCTGGACGCCAGCCTGACCAACATGGATGGATATGCACTCACGCTGCAGGGGAGGAAGGAGAGCGCACTCTTAAGACAGGCACATGTTTTATTTTCTTCCAACCCATAAAGAACAACTCCATGGGTATCCCGGCAAGCAGGAGCTAGTAGGGACCTGACCTACAAAAGCGAGTGGAGTGGTGGTGGTTAGCACGTAGAGCTATTAGGGCCTATGCTTCCACACCCTGCTCAAGAATTTTGACGTTCTTTTTGAAAGACAGGGCGGGGGAGGAAGAGGGAGGTGCAGGCACAGCGTGATAAAACAAGTCAAGTCTCATCATTTGGGAGTAGTTTGTCCTGAGGCAGTCAACTACAACAGCTGAGGATTTTTGAAGGATCAAGATCTTGAACTGTGCATCCGAATGTAAGCGCCTCTCTGTCAACAAGAGCAGATTTTAACAACAACAAAAACAACAAATTGAGAATGTTTTGCCTTGTGACTTCTTTCTCTTTGCAGGGAGGGGCCATTGACTCATGGAAATGTTTGTGTTGTTGTGAAATTCCTGTCTCTCTCTCTCCCCCCTCTGCAGATAGTCAAGCCTAAAACATGTCCACAATGAATCTCATTGTGTTTTTCCACTGACGCCACAAGGGGAGCAACAGCGTCACTGGCTGCTTGGTGTGCATCCAAACTTTCCAAAGCACCACAGAATCACTTTCTGATTTGATTTTGTATTTCCTTGCCTTGACCCTAACTTGCCTTCCCAATAGGGCCTTGCTGAGAATGCAGCCACCAGCCAGCTCAGCTATTTTGAGGTATTCATGCTGCAGCTGCACCCCATATGGATACCATTATCATCTAGAACATCTACCCTCCATCTAAAATCTCTCCCAAGTGACACAAATAATTTAAACGTCTACAATCCGACCTGAATAGAATAGAACAGCTTTATCGTCACTGTAACAACAAATTTAAACGAGCGCTGTCTGTCTGACATGTCTGTGTAAATTACAGCGTGAAAAGGCAAATTGAAACAACAATAAATGCATGAACCCTGAACATATGGCACATTACTAGTATTAGTCAGGCCAGACTTGGTTCAGTGTGTTTATCAAAGTTGGTTAAAAGCTCCAATTCAACTTGTATAATCATAAAACTTTCTGATGTCTCCCGCCTGATGTTTATGATTGCAACCCATGAAGGTGGCTATCGGCTTCTTGTATCTCAACCTGGCTGGAATGAAAAAAAAAAATGTTTGAAGTCCTAGTCACAACATGGAGGCGAAATGTGAACCACAATCCATGGCAATCGCTCTTCATTCCACACACTACCACCATTTCCCTCCGACATGTTGTGTCCTGAATGGTTCAACAGGAAGTGTCACCAGATCAAAATTGCACCAATCATCGGTCAACAAGCTGTAAATGATCCAACGCACTCCTATCCCGCCCAAAGTCGAGGTCAGCGCACTGCTTGACTCATACTTAATATTGAATTTAAATCTCTCTTGGTCTTAAAAAAAAAAGTCCTTATTCACCGCTTCACCACATTTACTTTTCAAATTGAGGTCATTTGTTTTTGAAGACATTTGTGTGAAACCTGCAAACCGAGTTTATCAGGTTGTTAGCAAACAAAACAAACAGAATTTATGACAGCCTGTATAGAAGCCACATCAGCATTCCCAGGCAGAAAGGCAAGCGTGTAAACCCTCCTGCCAGGCCTCGAGCCCCCATATGGAAAGTGTTAACCTTCACTGAAGCCACAGTCACATGCCTGGAGGCGCCTTTCCACTGCTGTGCTTCCTGTGCTTTTCTGCTTCACACGCATACTTGTATTCCTCTGTTGGTGAGCTGATGTGGCACTATTGAGCCACGAATTTAAAAAAACTAACTTGGAGAAGCACAATGTCACAACACCAAATGCTGACAATAGTAACAATGATAAAAAACTCACCATTCTGTCGTTGAGCGTGTCCTTTTTTTGCAAAAAAGTTAAACCCGTATGGTCCTCACAGTGTACCTATTATGAGATCTCTGTGAGTGAAGTCCCATCAGCGTGTAACACACATATACTTTTATAACTGACAGAGGGGGAGGAGGCAGAGGTGGAGCCAGCAGTTTCATTTCCACCCACTTTGGCTTCTATACTATGACTTCCTGGATTTCCTTTTCAGACCAAAAGCTCAGTGTGGCTACATTTGTGGATTCATTTACTCACAGCTCCATTCACTGGGAAATCTTGGACCGTGATGACAACTTATTTCAAAAACAATAAACACATATTTTCATCAAACGTGTCGTTTCAGAATTGGAGGACAATATAAGCCACCAACAAATGTGAAAAACATACCACTTATTTTATAATTTCTTTATTCTGATTGCAATAAAAGCAGATAAAAATGAAATATCCCAGTAGCCGACGCCTCCATTTTTCTCTTTCGTGACAGGTATTATGTGGGGGCCCATCAGCTTTTGCACGCTTAGGATTTGCAATTTTGTAAACATCAATCCCTTGCCCATGGCTCACCAGGTGCCTTTGGAGGAGCGTTTCAAAATGGCCACCTGCCACCAAACAGACAACTTCTAGAGCAGGTGATCCCGCTAAGATAGGTGAAGTCAAACTGGAATGCGCAACATTGACAAAAGCTTTGGAGAGCGATAAAGATTTACCCTTCAGGCTGTTGAAACGCTTCAAGCAAATGATTATGATGCTCATACCAAACATAAATATAAATGTAAGACTCTTGCGTTTCCTCCCATTTTTAATGAGTTCAACTCAAAGATCAAAAATGTTTCCCACAGAAACAAAAGTCCCATTTTTTTAACATTGTTCATAAATATGCCTAAATCTGATATTAAGCACTTCTACTTTGCCAGCAAAATCCATCCACCTCTAAGGTGTGTCATTTCAAAATGCTGGTTAGACAGCATGATAATTATAAAGGCCCGCCTTAAATTCTCTACAATAAAAGGCAACTTTAAAATGTGCATTTTTACTGTATTGTAAGATCTTTACAATGAAATTATTGGGATAATAATTAATAGTTTTAGTGTTCCTCTAAATACAGTTACAGTTATTGTAAAAAACACGTTTGCAAATCACGACTAATGTTTGAGTTTTTGCTCAAAAGAGATGGGGGGGGGGGTACGACACCTCAAGTTCACGCAAAGCTTAATGTGAGTCGCAAGTAACGTTCATCATCATGTCGCCATTTGTTTCCAATTACACGCCCTCGTGAGGATAAGCGGTTCAAAGGATGGCTGGGTGGAAAAAATGGATGGATGAATGGATGCTTTGTTTGCTCCATTTGTAATTTTCGTAATAGCCACCAGATAGCGCCATCTGCATTTTTTTTTGCTCTAATTTTACTTCGTCACTCTCCAATTGGCAAAAGTAGAAGAGGAATTCTCACTCTCACTATTTACTCTGCCCGCCCCAGATGTTTTATTGATACACCATGAAATATTTTAGACTACTATAGCTAATTCATATCTTGACTGAGACTTCTGTGCCCTGTCCATCAGTACGCGCAGTGATGCAGAACTTGGCGTGTGACCTTTGGAGGTCTGATGGAGCTTATGCCATATCTCCAGCTGTGAATGGAAACATCCTCATAATCCTCAAACAAACTATTGTACCCTCCAGACTTTATCCCCTGGATTCTTCTTCAAACGACCCGTGAGAAACTCTTGGGAAGAGGAGATGGTTTTGTGATAAGCAATTTGTTTGTTCCTCCTCGCTTTTCAGATCTAGAGATTACGTTTCCTTTGTTAAGTATTTCTTTCTCATCTTGTAATAAAACGTTGAGGAAACAAATCCCTCCCACACTGGAATAATTATCACCCGTTGGTTTATTAGCTTCAGGTGTTGATGAGAGATTTTGGGATCTGGAGAGACACTCTGGACACATGGTTTATTCTTTCGTGTGTGCGTGTGTGTGTGTAATAATCCGAGCTATTGATTCAAGTGTTATCATCCCACTTGACGCACAATTTCATGTGCAATAGAGCGATTAAATCAAGGATTATCCATTTGAAACTGAACTCTCCCCATTTTTTTTGTTCTCTGAAGAGGCCACTTCATTTTAAATTACTAATATCTGCAATAGAAAATCCTCATTGTGGGGTACAAGAGAATACATCAGCACAACAATTTTTATTTACAACGAAAATGTGGATATTATTTCGCTTGAATAAAACAGCATATGATACATTTGTCCCCATTGAAAACAGCCTCTGTCTTAATGGCAAATTGCTATATTTTTGTAGGAATACATCAAGACTCAAGAACCACAAGGAAAAATGTTTTCACTTTCCTGTAGTCTGGCTATGAACTCAATCTGTTTTAAGGGAATAGAGTAATGTTTTCCCTACAGTAAGCACCAGAAGTGGTCTTAGTTTTCAGAGATGGGCATTCACTCCCTGGGACGGAACGGTCCATCTATCCCTCCCGGGCAGATGCCCATTTTTGGGACGGAGGAGGGAGGATGAGAAGTTTTTTAAAAAGACGGATGAAGCAAGTGGGTTTTCGATTCCTCCTTTAATTACCATAATTATGTCTATCTTCAAAAATTCACTGAGTGGGACACAACCTCCAGGGTGGACCAACCACACATATGTTTTCGAGTCAACAAACACAGCTCAACCATGTATGCACCTGATCAGTAATTGGTTCTATTCTGTGATGGATTACATGTTGAAAGTCAGCAGGGGTCCGGGCCTTTTGACCCATCAGTGGTGGTCTGGTGCTCAAGGGCCTCTGTGCTGGTGCTGATAAGGCTTTAAGCTGTATTGATGCCGGATGGGTGCAGAGATGAAAGTGAGCACTGACAAATTGAAGAAATATTATTTGATGTTTCCATGTGGCCACAAGCAAGCAGGCCTGAAGGCTTGGAGATTTAGAGCATCCTGGAGGAAAAGAAAAACTTGTTTTTGACATCCAGAAGGTCAGGACGTGGTGAGTGCTTCATTTGAATGCAACTACAAACAATGGATGTGCAATTAGTACCTGGACCTTCAGCGGGGATTTATCCGACTTAATTCAACTCTTAATACCACCACTATCACGTCACACCTAGATAAATCATCAATACTATTCAAAGACAATAGTTAAAGTGTAACATCTGTCTGTCTGTCTGTCTACTGTATCTATCTAACTATCTATCTACTATCTATTTTTGTAAGTCATACTATCTCACAGTATCTCCCTTTATCCCTTGCATGGGGAGATGACATGTTTTGGAATTTCTGACATTTTACAAGCTGAAATAAACAAGTCCAGCAGCTCCCAAAGGGTTATTTATTCAATAAAACATGACAAGACAATTACAAATATAAACAAATCCTCCAGAGGACACTTAACAGAAAATCCACATTTATGTTTACACGTCAGTTGTGACTTCACAAATCCAGCCTTCCTATTACAGAAAATAAAGGAAGAAGCTGCATAAAAATCACATCAAAATTCACATTTGACATCAAGAGTTAAATACGATTCAAAAAGGAGGGGGGCGGTTTTGTGCTCAAATCTTAAATAAATCCTCAAACTTCACAGCATCACCTTCGGACAACGTCCTTGAATGCATCCTCTGGTGTCTTCAGAAGGGCAACGTGTCGAGGAATAACTTATCTATTGTTGCGGGTGGCGGCACCAGATCCTCCAACTTTAAATAAAAAATCCTCTGCAGGCCCTGAATGCACAGAGTGCGAAGTTCAGGAAGCTTCTCCACCAGTCTGTACAAATGGTTGGAGTCTCTCTCTGTGTACAAGCTGCCATCCTTTAAACATTTGACAACGCTACTTTGCAGGTCCTGCACCTTCCTCGGTTCCTTCAGTCCGTGTCGCTCTGTCCAAAAACACAGATCATGCTAGATATTAGATGTTACAGTTTTGTTTATAGATATTAGATGTTACAGTTTTGTTTATATATATATATATATATATATACACACACACACACACACACGTCAGGAATAATATTTGCGTTGTCC